AGCTTGCTTCCACCATATAAGAAGAGGGAAAAGTAAAAAATGTTGGTTTGATAACAACTTTTATATTCAAAAACTTAGCCTGCTGTGTTTTGAATAAGACTTGACTTTGTATAATATAGTTTTGTATCAATATCATAAACAATAACAAATTTATTAATAATTTTTTTTTATGAATGGGATCTTGGTTATGCAAACAGTTGCTGGTGCACATTTGGACGCCAACCCATTTGGGAACTTTTAGCCTTATAAGTAAATGATGTCATAATGCACTCATAAGATATTTGCCATGCTTTCATGTAACCCCGATTAATCCTTGGTCATCCAGGTAGTTCCTGTAAAGAAAAATATTACCTGCTATTTCTCTGATTTCCTGTTGCATTTTTGCAAAGATGAGTAAATGTTTGAGACCCTTCTTCTATAGAACAGCATAGAATGAAGTAAAATTAAACAAAACCTTAAATTCAAAATTTAAAATTAAACAAAACAAAAAGAAAGAAAGAAAACCTGAAAGGATTCAGATTTTAGCATTGCACCAGAGGATTTGTTAAAGTTTTTTATGTTGCCACTGGCATCATAGGAGCTAATTTTTTCTTAAGCTAACTTCTGCTAACACTTTTTAGCCACTGAAAACTTTAAATGTCGGTTCACCTTTCAAATTGTTGCCACCAAATATTATTGCCCTGTGTTATATTTAAAGAAATTAAATGGAGAATCTGCATAAATGTATATATGTTTCTCGCATTATGATAAAAAACGGTACATAGAGCCATCAGATTTTGAATAACGTAATCGTCCACCGAATATGGGCATCTGGAAGCCCTAATTTGGAATTTGTTTTATTATCGATTTCATATTTTGTAACACTTCAACAAATTTTTGTTTAACAAACTCAATGATTTTAAAGAGAGAAATGGCAAAACTGTACAGGGGGTGGTTGAACAGAGCGCTAAACTATGCATCGATTGGAAATTCTAAAGATATGCTCATTTTAAAATTATTCTGCAATATTGCTGTTGAATTGAATTTTATGGTTTAAGCGATAAACATTTAATAAATAAAGGTAAGTAACAAAAGGTAAAAAAAATCCCTTTGGGCGTATTTTTTTATTTTTCACTTTTTTTTTAAAGCTTTATTATTAAGCATACTTTCACCTTATAAAATTCAAGAGCAAAATCACAAACTATTTAAAAACAACATATTTTTAGAATTCTTGATAGAATGTTAGGGGCTACTGTATTTTTTTATGTTCAGTATGTATTTCTTTGAAAGCTAGCTGTTCAAGCTGCCAGTCACCTGAAAGAGTTATAAAAAAGGAAGTATATAATTGAGTCCAGCTAGTGTCATTCATAAAAACATTTCTTAAGACATCTCATGGTTTAAATGTATTTTTATTTAAATTATTCTGTTTAAAAAGTTAGAAAAGGTATTTTTAAAAACTGCATTTATTGTTTTTCATCCACTTAATTTGTTATTCAGTAACAGAAAAATTAAATTTGAAAATTAAATATTTTATGCTTTACTAAATGGCATTATGCTAGTGTGTGGAAATAATAAGTATTCTATCTGAAGCAGTGGCAACACATTGTTTTCAAATTCCCATATTTGTGAATTAACACTGAGACTGTTGATTGTAAAATTGAAAGTCTTATGTTTTGTTGAATGGCAACAGTTTGGTGTGCTATAAAAATGTTTTGTTCCAAGCAGTGTTGCCACTTCTCGCTTTCAAAACAAAAAAATTTTTAATTAAATTTGTAGAAAAAATAAAAACAAATTCAAAATTCAGACTTTGAGGTGCCCATGTTCGGTTGAAGGGCTACATGTATTAAAACTTTGATGGCTTTAGGATCTGTCTTTTCCACAATGCAAGGAGCATACTTATATACATAGATTCTTCATTTATTTTTAATAACACATTGCAGTAAGATTTAGTGGCAACAGTTTGAATAGTGATACTGACAAAAAATTAGTTTCAAAACTAATAGCACCTCTGTTACAAAAAAATCAAATAAATTTATGAATGCATCTTGGCAAAGTATATTTTGTTATTTAATATTTTTATGTAGTATTAGTATTTATGAAGTTTCTATTTAATGTCTGATTAAAATTATTAAAAATTGCTTCAGGGTTGCCACACTCTACCTGGAAAACCGGGAAAAGTCAGAAAATTCAAAAATTGATAAAAAAAGGTCATCGAATTTAAATATTTTAGTCAAAATCTGGAAAAATTAGGGAATTTCATGTTGCAACCTGCAAAAAAGTGTTTTTGTGCCAACGTCGGAAACAATCACTTCCTTGGCAAATCATGTATCACATGAGCATCAGTCGGACAGTTGGCGTAGAGCGAGTTTTTGGAGCACCAATCAAATTGGCTTTTAGAAAGGCGAAACAAGTTTCCAACTAACCTCGAGAATCCAAGTATTTGCATGCGCATACACGTTGAATGAAAGTAAATCCCTTGATTCTCGTATAAAACAAAATCCTTTAAACCACCTTTACTTTTAAATTTCAGGCAATTTTCTCTGGCATACTTGTGAAACGATTTCTAGCAGTATTATAACACATACTATCACAAAATTTAGTGCTTATATTTTTTACTTAGGTATGCTGCTAAATAAATGTAAAATACTTGAATTTATTTTAAAATGTCATTAAATAGATTTCTTTCTTCCTTTAACTGCAAAATGTCTGCAGAAAGATATTTTTAAATCCTGATTCGGCAGATTCTAATCTCAATCCTTAATGGAGAAAACAACTCCTAGTGTAGTTAAAAAAGTAATTCTTTGGGGATTATATATATATAAAGTCCTATGTAATTGGCAAATTTTTGTGTTTTTGAGTGGTACCACAATTAATTTGCCCTCAACGCAGCCAATGCGCATTACGCGGATAGCCAATGCGCATTACACGGACCTGGAATTTTCTTGAAACACACCTGGAAAACCTGAAAAAGTCAGGAAATTTCATTCTTCTGTTTGAGAGGCAACCCTGTTGCTTATTTGCTAAATTATTTGAATGTAGGTACCTAAATATAACTTTTATTGTATGCACATAAGAAGACTCATCATTGTACTGTAAAAAAGGTGACATATTTCTGAAAAGACATATTTCTGAAAAATTTGGAGGGAGATTTTTATTGAAGTGTAATATTGTTGTATAAAAATGTGATCACAAGACAGAATTTTTATTTTAATAAATCAATTTATGTTATCACAATTAGAATTTCTTATCTTTGATCAAATTTGCGAAATTTTTCAGTTTTATAAAAATATCAAAACTTTTTTTTTGATAAAATTAACCATATTTAATGGTACAAACCTGTAAATTAAAAAAAAAAAAAAGTCACTTTTTATTTCACTTTTTTGCATGCTGAATTATTAACCAAGAATGTAAAACTTTGTAAAAAATTATCTATTTAAGAGAACTGAAAAAAATTATGTCACAAACAAATTAACAAAGATATTACTGTTGTAAAGTAATTAGTTTATTTAGTGTTGTAAAGTAATTAGTGCTAAGTGTGCTACTCTTACACGATGAGTTCATGCTGGAAGGAGGGGAAAAAATACCATATATACACCCCTTTTTAAAGGGCGACTGGGATTAGTTGCCCAATTGCCAAATCCGAGTTATGACTGAATTATTGTTCACCACCTTTTAGTCAGGCACCACTGTAGAGTCATTAGGTTATTTTTGAAGGAGGAGAGATGAAAAGTAAGTAGTGTCCTCGCCAGGACTCGAACCTGGACCTCTTGAATACTCGACGAATGTGCTACTATTACACCACGAAGGCATGCTGGAAGGAGGGGAAAAATACCTTAGACTGCAAATAAATCTTAAATGCTAATATTTTACTAAATGATTAAAATTCTTTATTTAACAGAATGTGTTTTGAAAACATAGAAATCATGAGGTTTATTATTGGTATGTGCAGTGTTCACAAAAATCTTTCTTTTTAAAATCATTGGTTAGAGACATACTTACAGTTACAAAAGTTATAAAAATGCTTTAACTGATGCAAATATAAATAACGTGACATAAAAAAATGGTATGAATTATAAAATATGACTTTATATACATTTTTCTGGTTATTATGTTCATTATAAAAAGCACAATATAAAAATTGAGGCTTTCGTATGACAAAAATTGACCGAGATATTTAAAGCTGCACATTGCATTCAGGGGCCATATATACCTGAAAAACAAAATGTTTGCTTTTGCCCATAAATATACAGTTTAAGAAAACAATTTTGGATGTTAACAATTAAGTTATAAGCATTTCTCTACATATTATCATGAAAATATTAATCCATATAATTTTTCAAACAAGAGATCTTATTCAAGGAATGTGAGAGAATTTTTATTCTAGAAAACTTTGGCAGGCTTCAGCATTATCAGATTCCTAGCTCATAACCTTTGTTGTATAAATTAAAAATATTTCTATTTTAATGAATTTTTATGATTTTTGGATAAGGATTCTAAAGTGATAAACTACGTAAGAATAATGATGTACTTATAATGTTTAAAAACTTCTAAATTATTTGTGTGAAAATCCTTTCAGAATACCAGTTGTAAGAAAATTAAAAATTTTGCACTTGTAACAAGATTAAAACATTACATATTAATAAATTTCAAAAAAATATCACTGAGTGGCATTTAAGGGGGAAAAGTCAACCTTGAATTATTCTAATTTATTTATTAAATGCACCAAGGCAGGTTAAAATGAACTCAAAAATTGTTAAACTTTCAAGTCAAATTTTGAAATTAAATATCTCATTTACTTTTTGTGTTTTATCTTTGTAATGAGTTTTAACATTTTCTTAAATATAGGTAACTGGGGGAACGTATAAAAAGTTAAGATTCCATAAACTGTCTCGGAAATTTAAAGAAGGAGAGGCAAAAAAGAAAGAAAATATTTCAAAATATGATATTAAAAGCTGTGTGATTTCCTTCCTTGTTTTGTTACTGAGTAATGCTTAAAAATGTAAAATTATCTTATTTCAAAGGTTTATTGGTGGAGCTGGAGAATCTCATAGCCATATAGCAGAGGGTCTGAGCACTGCTTTGCAAGTATTTGATGATTTTCAGAATTTAAGAGAAAGCAGGTGAGAGCTTTGCTTATATGAATGTGGACATTTTAATCCTCCTAGTTGTATGTTCTTTTTGATCTACTCTTGAAGAGCTGTATTTAAACAACATTTATTAGCTTTTTTTTTTTTTTTTTTTTTTTTTTTTTTTTTTTTTTTTTTTTTTAATTACTTATTTTATCCTTATTTTCAAAATTTTCTATTCATCAAAATGTTATTTAGATCATTAATGAACAAAGGAAAGCGAAATATTTTGAATAGTATCACGTGGAAAAAAATCTCATGACCAGATGAAAGTAGTCATGCTGCTTAGGATGTTAATAATATGACATTTCTGAAAGTCTTCTAATTTCTGTATAATATGTATAAGGTCTCCTGGAAAATTCTCCCCCATCTGGGAGGGGAAAGAAAATACATTTTTTATACCTTTAATATAATTTATTATACAAAATACTTTTCAGTCATTACTTATGACCTCTTGCAAGTGTGACGGTAATTTGTAGGTAACATTTTTGGAAAAGTCTTGTCTGTAGAGAATAGTAACTCAAAGTAGTGTTCGGCTGACATCTGTCCCAGTTTTGAATTTTCTTCCCCCAAAATTCTTGTAAGGAGAGAAACAAGGGAGCGACAATAATCGGAGGGTTCTTTGTCTGGGGAGTATGGTGGATGAGAGTTTCTGAGTTCTGCAATTTTCTGATGAGTCGCTAAATCAATTTGTGATCTGGCATTATCATGGTGCAATATGACATGCTTTCTATTGGCCATCAACAACCTGTTTTTCTTTGATTGCGTTGTTTAAATTGTCCATTTGCTGACAGTATCTTTTTGAATTGAGCTTTTCTTCAGGTTTCAAAAGTTCGGAATGTATTGGTCATTGGACGTTCTACCATATACACAGCATTCCTTTATTCAGACTCAAACTCAGTTTAGAGTTGAAGGGTACAAGTTGTCTGGGCTCCCAGTATGCTGTTTTCCTAACAATATTTTGGTAGGAAATATAATTTTCATGCGCATTTTACCATCTAGTCAAAAAAGGGTTTGTTTTTGTTCTGAGCAAGCAGAGATGTGCATGTTATGACTCAGTTGGAATTTTTCTCACTTAACTCATCTGGCACCCATCTGGAATATTTATAGACCAATCCTAGTTTCTGAATATGGTCTGAATAGTTTGTTGAGTTGAATTAAGCTTTTCTGCTGTCTCCAGTGTTGTCAAAAAAAGGATCATGCTCTGTCATGGTCTTGACCATATCACCATTGATCAAAGGCTTGTCATTAAGGTTGAAATCACCTGCTTCAAATTTTTAGAACATATTGTTAAGGTTGAAATCACCTCCTTCAAATTTTTAGAACAATCTCCTGCCCATTTTATCCAAAACTGCATCTTCACCAAAAACTGCTACTAAATTTCAATACTCTTCTGTAGCTTTTCTTTGTTGTTGGAATTCATACAAAATGCAGTATTTATGACCCTATGTATAAATGAGCTGTATTGGTAGTCATCTTTACACGATCACATCTCATTTAATAATGTAATAAAACATTTTTGTTTAATTCAGAAGAGCAGATATTTGTAAATGCAGTTATAAAGAGAGGCAGACATATATGTCTCAAATGAACACCTGTATGCATGTTGAAACTCAAAATAACATTAGTGGAGAAAACTTTGCAGTACACCTTATACATATGTGTGTATATATATATATCTTTACACTACTTTACCACTAGAAGATATTTTTTATAGTCTTCTCACTCTGCCTGATTTGTTAATGCAAATTCTTACAATAATCTCCAATGAAGAATGGAAAATCTACTTAAAAAGCGTATTGTTTAGCAACTACGCCAAATTTAATAATAAGTTTTTCAAGCAAGTACGAGATTTACCAGTGGGCTCCAGCACTTCATCTGCATTTTGTGACTTATTTCTCTTCTCACTAGAATATATATTTCAATTATCAAAGTACCAATGATCAACATAATTATTTTTCCTATATTTTCAGGTATGTGGATGACATTATTGCAATCAGTAGCTTTAACAAAATAGAAGAAGCAAATGTTTAATCCTGCATACCTTAAACAAAACTAGCCCACTACAAGATACCTTGATTTACCGTGTTTACCTTGATTTACAAATTTTAAACTACAAAGGTGTTAAGATCTATGATAATTCAATTTTCACACCATTAAACTCATCATTTGAAATTCCAACATCTCCAAAAAAGTTATAATTAAAACTGTTAATACCCAAATTCTTAGAATGGAAAAGTTTGCAATGACACAAATTATCTTCAAGAAGAAATACAAAACCTTATTAAAATTCTCTTAGCAAATCAAATTACAAAACTCGCAGTTTCACATACCTTAAAAAAAAGCTGACATTATCTTTTAGATTACTTCCTTACAGTGAAATTGTGTATTTTATCCAAAGGTGAAAAAAAGGTAATGTATGGATGACTTCAACAAGTAATTTAATGTGAATATGTAATTAAAAATCTCTCCTTTTTTTTTCTCTCTCTCTGAATTTGACAAGGATTTTATGAAAGTACTATTAATTATGTACTTTATGGAATTACTGGCATTCTATCCTGTATTAGTGAACAAAAGGGCCTATTTCAATTTCTTAAGACGTTCTTATAGCTCAATACGTGAAGAATTTCAACTTTTTTATCAATGTCTTAGTATCTTAGTTTTTTGCTTTTCTGTAGTAGACAAAAATAAGAAATTTAAAACCGAATTCACAATGGCACAAAAGAAATGAAATTGAATACCAATAAAATCCGTACCCCCCAAAAGAAATAATTGTGTTTTAAAAAATAAAAAATTGTGATACTCTCTCTTTATATATTTATATATACATATGGTTGTAAAGAAAGTTTTTTCACCAAAAAACATTCTTAATAAAGTTAAGGGGGGGAAAAAACTGAAAGCAGTACCTTTAATGCTGGTAGTAATTACCATCCAAATCTATGATTATCTGCCAATGTTTTTGTTGTTTCTCAAAGCCATCAGCCCAGAAAGTGGTTGTGAGTCCCAAAACAGATTAACCTCATTTTGGATTTCTTGTGCAGAGTGGAAGATAGCACCAGCAAGATGTAACTGCAGGTGTGAAAAAAGGTAGAAGACGAAGAGAATGATGTTGAAGCTATACAATGGGTGTTGCAAAAGATCCCATTCGAGTCCGTACTAAGTCCAGCATGATCTTTTTGTTGGTCAAATTGCGCTTTGTGACGCTGCCAACGGGCTTATCAGGTACAGATCAACCCTCTTTCTGGCCTATATTGTTGAAGTAAATGTGTCTTCATCACAAGTGACAATCCAGTACAGAATTTTGTCCTTGCATTAATATTTGAGCAGATTAGTGCATGCCTGAACTCATCTGTCCTTATCTGCTTGAGTCAGCTCATGCGGCATCCAGTGATTGAACATGTATGTCAAGTTTATGTGGTGCATAGCCCAACTATTGGACATGCCACTAACATCTAACTCCTTAGCAGGCTGTTGAGTGGTTGCATACTGATCTTCCTTAAGTTCTCGCAGGCAGGCCTCATCAACACCATTAGGCCAGCTAGAGCCCTCTGCTTCTTGAATGCCATTGCCCTCTTTTTTGAGCTTTTGGTACCAAACCTTCACAGTGTCATATGATATGACAACAGTACCTAAAACTGTACCTATGAGTTGGTACCATTCTGTAACTGACTTTTTGCAACAGAACTGGAAGTAAATGTGGTTCTAATTTGGTAACATGATGGCTCCATTTCAGACAACTTGTACTAAATGATAGCGATACTTTTTTTTTCCAATTCACAACCCAGCATTCTAAAGCAAGTCTCTTTCTTTCAAATGCCAAAAATTGTTTGACAAAATATGATTAAATATGCCAACATGATCTATTTGCGCAAATCTATTTGCGGTGGCGGGAAACTTTTGTTAATACCCGTAATTATATTTCTGTATGCAATTAAAACTTAAGTCATAGCTAAAGCAAAATAATGTCAATTTATTTTACAAATTTTTCATGGAAATGATAAATTTTACATTTAAAACTAACATATACTGAAATACAATGAAAAGTCGTTAATCCAGACTCGTCGGGACTTCAGCGATTCCGGATTATCGATTTTTCTGGATTATAGATCATCATTTTAAATCTGGTAAGATGGCATGCAGAAGTTACAAAATTAAAAATATGAAACCGTAATTTATGAAATAAAGAACAATTATGATCTAAAGGGTATCAAAATTTTCAAAAAGAAAAAGCTTATTATTTATTTGTTTATTTTATTAAACATTTCTTTCAATGTAAGTTGTTTAAGTTGCTTCGTTTCATGTGATAATACTTTCTCTTTAATTCTATTAAGCAGACATAATTTCTTGTTTAGTTACAAAGTTCCGCTGTTCAAGTCATATAATTGCTGTATCGAGAATACCGACTAATTTGTCAATCGAAATTTTTTCGTTTTCAATAACCACTGTCACTTTCTTCACTATCGGAAGCGAAATATAATGACGAGAAACTTGATTTAAATCATAGACGGAGTACATCGAAATGAAATACTACATTTAGTAAGGAATTATGAGCCAAATAAAATAAAAACATCTGCCCTGAAGATAAGGATAGTGCTGACAGATCAACTTCCAATTCATTGCGTGCCTCGCCCCCCCCCCTGCCACAGAGCAGCGTGAAATTGATAAACGGATTTCGGGTTTCGAAACATGCTTTCGCTTTGTAGATCCTTTACATATTAGTAAATATATATCAGAAATTCTATTTGACATAATCGAAAGTTCAAGCTTACTTTTATAAAATTGCTCTAACAGTCTGCAAAAAATAATAAGCCAGATCCAATTCGAAGATTAAGGAACAACGCAATCTGCAACATTAACTGAATTAGATAATTTTAGCTTAGCTTATACCGTCTGTTATACATTCAATGCACATGCGTAAATGTATTATGGGCGTGCACACATGCATATTCGCAGCCGTAAATTTCTTATGCGCACGCGTAAACGCCTATGCGCAT